GGGAATTTTTAGGGGGATTTTTGGGGCATTTTTTTGGGAATTTTGGGGGGATTTGGGGGATTTTTTTGGGATTTGGGGGAATTTTTTTGGGATTTGGGGGAATTTTTTTGGGATTTGGGGAATATTTTGGGAATTTTTTGGGGATTTTGGGGAATTTTTGGGGTTTTGGGGGGGTTTTGGGGTTCTGGGATCCCAAATTTTGGGATTTTTGGGAGTTCGTTGTGTCCTAAATTGGATTTTGGGGTTTTTGGGGTCCCAAATCCCAATCTTGGGGTCCCAAACCCCGATTTTGGGGTTTTTTGGGGTTCCAAATCCCAATTTTGGGGTTTTTTGGGGTCCCAAATCCCAATTTTGGGGTCCCAAACCCCGATTTTGGGTCATTTTGGGCTTTTTTTGTCCCCCCAGGTGTCCCAGGTGTGGCACCTGGAGGTTTTTGGGACCCCAAACCCAAATTTTGGGGTTTTTTGTGTCCCAAACCCCGATTTTGGGTCATTTTGTGCCGTTTCTGTCCCCCCAGGTGTCCCAGGTGTGGCACCTGGAGCGCAGCTTCTCCCGCCTCTGGAGCCAGTGCCAGCGCTGCCAGGGCTCCCTGCTCCAGGACGTTCTTTGCACCAGGTGAGCCTCCCAAAAACCCCCAAAAAACCCCAAAAACTCCCCAAAAAATTCCCAAAATAAAAAAAAAAATTCCCAATTTTTTCCTCCCCCCAGCCGGGACTGCCCCATTTTCTACATGCGCCGCAAAGTGCAGAAGGACCTGGAGGCGCAGCAGGAGCTCCTCAAACGCTTCGGGGTGCCCGACTGGTGATGATCCCACCCCCAAAAATCCCAAAATCCCCCCAAAAAAATTCCGGGAATCCCCAAAAAAAAAAAAATCCCGGTGTTTTTGGGAGTTTGGATGAGTTTTTTATCACCCCCCCCGCGGTTTTGTATGGGAAATTTAATAAAGGTTTGGTTTTTTGTGGTTTTTTTTGGTCGCTGGGTGATTTTTGGGGATTTTTTGGGCGGTTTTTTTGGGGTGTTTTTAAGGGATTTTGGGGGTTTGGGGGGATTTTTAATGGAAATTTGGGGTGTGGAGGCGTGGCTTGGTGATTGACGCGTCTCTCGACCAATCAGAGCGCGGAACGAGCGCTTTCTTTTCGCCTTGTGGGCGTGGTCTGGCGGCGACTCGTGATTGACAGCATCCCGCCCAATCAGCGCTGTGGGCGTGGATTAACATTGATAGGCGTTGCCGCTGTCCAATGAGGAGGCGGTAACCGGGAAGAGGCGGCCAATGGGAAGGCGCGGGGGGCGCGCGGCGGCCCCGCCCCCGCTATAAAAGGGCGGGGAGGTGGGGGCCGCTCCTCGCGCTCACAAGATGGCGGAGGCGTCCAATTGTATCATGGAGGTGAGCGGGGCTCCGCGGGAAAGCGGCGAAAATGGGGCGAAAAAGGGCGAAATCGGGCAAAAATCCGGCGGGCCTGAGGGAAAAACGGTCCCGGAGCGGCGGGAAACGGGCTGAGAAGCGGCGTGAGGGGGGTGGGGGGGGACTGTGAGG